AGGTGTAATTTGAAAGTTTACGAAGAAAGAAATTTTAAAATTATTTTTCTGAGAGACCACATATTTCCGGAAGCATTTTCTCTGCCAAATAGTTTATCCAAACAGTTTTATTACTAACAAATTTTCAGTTCTAAACAAATCTTAAGTTTCAAACATTTTTTTGCACGCTAGCCAAAAAACGGTTCAAAGTATTAGAAAGTGGAAAACGAACACACATTGAACACCTGCCACAAAGGCTATAAATTGAAACCACTTTCATTTTAGAAAAATACCTGCAATCTGCCAACATTTATGACCCAAATAAATTATCAAAAAATTTCTACAATTAAAATTGGAATTTTTCCAAACAAAGAAATGTTTGAATGGTTCAACCTGGGAAGCTTTACGGCCAAGAAACAATTAATCAAATCATTTGTTTTTACAAAGAAATCTTAACAATTAATCTAATTTTAAACTTTTTCATGAATATAGCCATAATTAATGGAGGATGATTAAAAAAATATGTTTTTAATAATGTCCAAATAAAATGTTGAGGAAAAAGATCGTGAGCACCTGCCACAGCACGGGCATGAATAATTTTTTTAGAACATAATAACAATAATAATTATGGGACCCCCTGCTGACTTTGCGTCGCGCCATGTTGCCAAACTTCCGGGCAGACATTTCCCTGCATTTCCCTTTTTTTCCCCCTGAAGCCGGTGCGTTTTGGTTTCCCCTGTCTCGTGCTGCCCCTTTGGGGTTAAATCATAAAAACTGGAAAATAATAAACAAAAAGATTCAATTGAACGTGAAGGAAAACTCGTAGTGCACATAAATGATTCAAAATTCGTGTACCATGAGGGGGCGTAGATGGGTATGACTACTCGGAATTCGAACGAAAATGTCTGAGTAAATAGGAGCAGGCTATGGCAGCGAAATAAGTTCAACAAAATAAATAAAAGCAATGCACGCAATATTCCTGCAAGTGGCAAACAAATGCTTTATACCCTGCTGGCCCTTTCTTGAACGAGTATAATTATATGTATCTGCATAAAATGGGGTGTGCCACAGTGAGGAAGGTCTTGTCTTCTTGTCTGGCCAATCGATGGCAAGACAATTTACGGCTAGAATATAACAAATCAAAAATTCACAACTACGCATTTTCCCCACTCACTGCGCTTCCCCAACGCTTTCTGCCTTCCTGTTTGGCCAAAGCCCTTCCTGGTCGGATTTCCAATCGATTGCTGATATTATATACGGGTGTATATTTGTTCAGGCCATTTAGGGCTGTCTTTCAAATCGGTTTTATTGCCCTGTAATTACTTGTTCAATATTGTCTTTGATCAAGACGGAACTTACAGGGAATTAAGGTTGAACAATAAATAAATGAGGAGCACATTTACAAGTAATTAAAAAGTTTAAAAGTAAAAGGAAGAAAAGGAAAATTAGAGAGTGGTTTATAACAAACCCAAAACGTAAAATATTTTAATTCAGCAATTATAAATTTTTAAAAAGTAATGAAAAACTCCTCTTAAATTTCTTATCTTTTATGTATATCTTATTATATATACATTTATTATGTTCCTTAAGTCCATCCCCTTTAATTAGACTATGCCAAAACTGACCCCAGAGAACAACAATCCCTGAGGGGTATATCTTTATTGAACTATAGACGGTGTCTAGGAGTAATTAACCTGTCAACGCCGAAGAACAATCAGCTAGAGTGCTACGAATGGCGTCCAATCCCGAAAAGGAAGCCAGCACAAAGCTGGGCTGCGATGCTCCACTCTGTGACTAACTAGACAAAGCTGCCCCGGCAGTAGAGCGTCTACAGATTTACGACTCGACAGTTGAATCCAGTTCCCTTGACGAGGCCCCCTTGGTCCTTGGAACACGTGGAGCGTGCTGGCGAAGACAAGCATTTGACATTTATGTGCAGGCAAATGCATTTCCCCAAGTACTCGCACAAGGCAATCGGCTAGAAAGTACAAGTACCCGAGCGGGGTTCAAGATCATTTGCATCCACCAGCAGCCAAAAAAAGTACCGAGGCACTGAAAGAAGAAATCAGTATATATACGGCCTTGATTCTTTAAAATCAAAAAGGTTTAGTTAAATTCAAAAGTAGTTAATTCACAAGTCTAAATATTTTCCAAGATTTCTTTTTTATTTTTATTTTTTGTACTTATACATATTAAATCAAGTTTAAAAAGTTGAATTGTTTTAATTACGAATAAAAACATTCTTCTTGTGAAGGACTAATAATATTAAATTAATAATATTTAAGAACCTTAAGAAGTATTTCCCAGTGTATCCTTGCAGAGTCACTTGCTCTGCAGCGAGCCACTCAAAGATCAACCCTCGCTGTACAGCCTCTCGCCTTTATGGACTACGAAATGTGCAATTTCTGCTCGGGTCCCGACTTTACGATTTTTCCATAGGTCCCAATGTGCCGGGCATCTGTCTGGTTTGGTCGGTTTGTTGGCCCAGTATCGATGGCAGTCCACTTAGGAATTCCTGGTCAGACCACATGGAGTCGCTCGCATTTTGCCACTTCAGTTTTTCAGTTTCCCTAGCTCCTCTGGAGAAAAGTGAAAATGTGTTCCCTTAGCACAATTGTTGCTCTCCTCTGCCTGCAATTTTTAATGTGCCTTTCCCGATGTGCGTTTCTTTTTTCCTTTTGCCTTTGATGCTCTCGAGTTTCCCCTTAATGTGCCTGGAATATGTCGCCTGGCCACAACTCTTATTATGGCCTTCTATTTTCGGCCCATCATTGATGAACATTTTCATGTTTGCAGAAAGGGAAATGTTGCAAATATTCTGGGATGAGAAGGGAAAGAATATCTCAAAGATATAAGATATTTGGGAAGAGAAACCGAACTGAACAATATAAAAATCTTGATTTTCTAACAAATGATTTCAAATCACAAGATATAAGAAGTGAGAGTAGAATTTTTCTAGATTAATGCAGCACAACTGTCTATTTCTCATCAAATTTCTTAAATCACTTTGTCTGGCATTATTATTTTCGTTTTTTTTCCCATGACATATCAAAAGAATAATTCTCCCACCACTCGGTGAAGGTGAGTTCTCAGGGTCCCCCCGAAAACCATCTCATAAATGTTTCCTGACAGAGAACATCATCGAATCGACGACGAACCCAACCACAGACAACACTCGGCGGACAAACTCAAACTTTGACACCGATAGGACACGGGGAATACTAAATCGGGAGCTCACCTCAGATGTTATATCTTATAATGCTATATCCAGTTGGGTCTTCTATTTCTGCTATCGGAACTCATCAAATATGCACGACGAGGCCAAGACAAAACGTACGCACGCGGATGGATGGGATGGAAAATGGGAAAGGGACTCCGACTCGGACTCGAAATCATGGACTCAGAACGCTGGCGATGATAATTTGATCATGCGAAAAGCGCACGCAAAAGAAAAACATGCGCAGGTACAACAACAAAGTTGTTGCAGTCGAGGAAAAGTGAGTTTTTCCTGATCGCCGATCGCTTGGTTCGTCAGGAGGGGAGGGGTGGGAAGGGGAGGGGGCGTACTGAGTGGGTGATGGCAATATGGCAACCATATTTAAACACTGATCCCGTATGCGAGTGTGCGTGCGCTGGAGGGAGCGAGAGGAAGCGAGAGTGCGAGGGAGAGGGCCGATGTTTTTATGCTGCTGCTGATGTCGCTGCACTGCGAGAAAATGTCACAAGATGTTAACTACTTATGCCGTAAATTTTATGAATATTTCTTATTTTTTTATTTTTTAGAGCATATACAAAAATTAAAATTTGCTTTAAAGATGTATTGAAATTTTATTTTAGTTTAATGTGTTGCAGACCTTAAAATCTATTGAAATAAGAGTTCTAACCCTGCTTTACATTTAAAGCAGCGGTCGAGCAGCGCCCTATTAAGTGAGCATAGGGTTTTGTTTGCCGGCGCGCTGCTCGCATAAATATAATTGCGTAGAACAGCCGTCTGCACACCCACATTCGATGCACCTGCCCACTGCAAATTTTTCACACATACCATTTAAAACAATTTTTTAATGTCAACGTATTTGTGTGTGCCGACCGCGACTAAATGTTAAAAAAATTCTAAACGCAATAGAAATTCTACCTAAATGTTAATAAAAGCAAAAATTATTTGAGATTCTCTCAAGCCATGTTCTTTAAATTCCCAAGATATTTCTCTCAGTGTTCGCTATGCACGTTGATGGAATGGATGAAGAAGCGCGCGTATGGTAAATAAAAACCAAAACATGAGGAGGGATTCTCTGCGCCGGCAGAGGCGGTGGCAGAGGAAAATGCAGACGGCGCGGAGTGTTTTGTTCTCGTTGAAGTTTTAGAATTTATTCCGTTTCGGGATGTCAATGCAGACGCACGCACTGCGCGAACTCAAGTAAAGTTAAATTCCAAGTCGACCAAACACGAACAAGACATTACCGCCTGAATTTAAATTTCTATTTGAATTTATTTGCCGCGTTTATCAACTGACAATTGTGCCGTTTGCCTGCCATTTTTGGCACTCATCGCTGTGTTTTCTGTTTTCGAATTTTTCAATTCGCGCCCTGAGCGCAACTTTTGGCGCGTGCGCATGCGCAGCCAGTGAAAGTGCAAATGCATCGCAAATTAGGGCTTTGATTTGTGAGAGACTCTGCGAAACGCATATTTTAACCAAGGAAGAAATAGTGCCAACTGGATCTCAAGATGTTTGTCACTGCGGATAACACAAACACCTTTTTCTCAGGTAAAAATTGGGATTCGACGGAAAATTAGGAAAAATGCTTAAAAGTTTATGATTTACTTTGAAATATTTATTTTTGTTGTAGTTTGTGATAATGGAATATACTTATTTTGGAAATTAATATAAAGTAAACAAGATAATATTTTCTTATACATGGTCAGAAAATCGTTCTAAATTACTGAAAATATACTAGGAAATAAATACATATTATAGAAAATTAAAATCCAAAAACATCCTAATGCATTACAATTTAATTCCCCAGACAACCCTTATTATTTTTGCAATGACACCAAGTCGCCGCGCACCCCGGACTCTCAGTCCTCCAGCCGGGGCTTCTCGATCTTCAAGCGGCGCAACTCGAAGGGCAGCAGTCCCCGGCCGGTGGCGCTGACCAATCCGGAACCGAATCGGATCACATCCGGCAATCTGGACACAACGGCCATCATGGCACTCGGAAGTCCGCGCGGCAGCTTCAATTCCCTCGGCGGCTTCTCGCATGTGAGTAGCTGATGCAGAGTTAATGGAGCGTATTCCGAACCGATTTCGGAATACTGATCTTGATTTATCAGCTGAATCTGGCACTTCCTGTGCTTCTGCTCTTCTAATGCGCCGCCCTCTTCCGCTTTGCGTTTTTCAGCACTCGTTTGAAATGCAGCCGCTGCATATGTACCGCCAGCGATCTTCCAATTCGCACTCGGAGTTCCGGGAACGCCTGGGCTCCTGCAACGAAACGCATAGCTCCCAGTGTCCCGGCGGAGGAAGAGGAGGAGGATCGGTAGCTGCGGATCACGACGAGGTCTTCAATCCGCTGACATCGCCAACAAGGTGAGCAATCCCCGGAATCGAAAATTCAAATGGGGGCTGGTGGTGATGACAGGATGCGATGGCAGCTGTTGACAACTTCGAACCGCCCTCTTTTCCGCCCGTGCTAATCGTTGGCCCTTTCTTTTCCCCCCTTCTTCCGCCCGATCTTCAGCAGCAAATCCCATCGACATCACACCCTGCCAAGTGGCGGATCTCGTCGCCATTCCCTGGGAAACTGGGCCCAAAATCAGCAGCAGCATCACCAACAAAACTCGGGAGCCATGGGCCTGGGATCTCCGGATGAAGTGCCCAGCATGATGGCTCCCCGGCCACCGCTGCTCTCGCCCAACAAATTCCGCGGCAGTTCGCATCGACGAAGAGGTGAGTTGACTTTGGCACTTCCCCTCCCCATTTTTCCCACTTGATCAGTATGCCTGGGGGCAATTGCGAATTCCTATGCTAATCTGGGTTCAATAAATAGAAAAAATGCATGTAAATGGAAGTCGTGTAGCCAAGTTTTCTCCTATATAAGTAGAAAAAATTGTGGTTGTCTATTATATTTTATGGGAAATATAGGGAAAAAGAAAAATGATCTACTATTTATAGAGCAAATTTTTAAATTTATTTGTCCTGTATTTTATAATTTATATTTATGCCATATTTTAACAACTGAATACAATTTTTTATACGGAAAACACTCGATATAGGGACAGATTTCAAGAAAATCTGAGTTTACTGGAGCTTTTCTAGCTAGATCTATAAAATTATTAATGGATATGTCCTAAAAAAGGCTATAAATAATAATAATGTTATAGCTTTAAGTACTTCAACATTATCTAAAGTTCATAACATCTAGCTGCTTATCTTATTGGCATTCCTTAAGTCTAATATACCCATGAAGTTATTTTAATTTTCCCCACAAGCTCTGCCGCATTGACAATGACAAAGTGTTTGGCAAATTGCATTCCCTGCCCTCGTTTCGCGTTCGCATTTTTGCACTTTGGCGGCTGTTCGCCCTCCTTTTCCCTTTTCCCTCCACCAAAGTCCACCCTTCTGAGTTTTCCCTCTTAAACTCCTCGAACGTCGGCTGCCCAACAACCTTTACCTCGAAGCTTTGCATCACGTTTGCATATTAAGCGCTACGGCAGCTCCTCTGTTGTTGTTTCGCCTGGCGCCATGGATCTGAAGCCCCTCATTTAAGCCACGTTAACAACATTGCAATGTTTACGCAAGTGATAATTGTAATCGTGTTTTGTCGCCAGAGCGTCGCCAATCTTTGTTTTGGCATTGTTTTTCCCTTGTAGTGCAGCGTAATGAGGGGATCGTATTGGGGCTATCGTATATATGTACATATATGCATATATAGATGATCGTTGGCAACGCGCCTTCCTGGCTGATTGGCCTGACATTGACAGTCCTCCGTGTGATGGATGCCCCTAAAGCGGGTAGCTGCATGCCAGATGCCAGTGCCTCCTGGTTTCCCAGCCACACACTCGTATATCCAGCAAAAGTCACAGGTTTATGGTTTATGAGTCGCTCAGGACTCCTCTGCACGATCATTGTGTATTCATCAAAACGTTTTCAGGGTTTCGCTTTCGTGACATTGGGATATGATGGATAATCTGGAGTTGATTTAAAGCACTTCGTGGGGTGGATTTATGAAATGGAAACATTTTTTAGCGATCTTTCAATGAAATTTTAAAACAGTATTAGATGTTTCATTTATAAGAACAAAAGTACCCAGACAACAAGTAAAGATAATTACACTTCTGCCATTCTTGGTTTTATTATAATGGCAAGCGATTCCTTTCCTTATTATTATTATTATCCATTATAATAACGGCTATAGCGCCTTTTTCTTCTAATGTTCCCTTTCTCAAAATTGACACACTTAAAGCTTTGGTCACTTGCAATCTATTCGAATCTAACGCCATATGCAGAAAACTAGGCAATTCTCCTCAATCGACAATTAACCCACAACACCCACGAACCATGCAGTTCTAACAACCAAATTTATGGCAAAGTAAAAACAACTCGAGCTGAAAAACATTGCCATATTGGCGAGAGTGTCCCACTGCAGTTCGATTGGAGGGAAAACTGGGGGGCAAGAGTTATACGCATTTCCGCTTTTTCAATAACAATGCCAATTGCAGTGGCAGTTTGTTATTATGTTGCTGGCAACATGGCGGATGGGCAACCTGAGCAACATGGGCAGCAAATCGCCTGAAGGGGGCGGTGGGTGTGGCCGCATGACGAGCATAAATTGAAGAACTGCACAGCCAATAAGGCACAGCACATCACATCACATCAAATCAACTGGCTGGAACGGAACTCTGCATAATTGATGGGCGGACTGCGAGGTATATGTGCATATAGGAGTGCTTCAAACGTGTTAATGGCACGGAAGCGGGAAAAAAGGGGAGTTGGGTGGCCAACTGCTTTGCATATGGCGCGTGCCAACCAAAACGATTGGCCAAATTTGGCCCTCCTTCGGCCTTACCGAGAAATTGGCAGCACAAACTGTGAATACATCAAAGCAGCACACACGGGCCTGTTTACGTTGGCCATGTTTCCTCTTCGTCGGGTTTCCCAATCCCAATCAAAAGCGCTTCAGTCGATAAAACTTGAAAACAAAAAAGTGGGCTGCCATACGCCATTTATCAATTTTACACTGTTTTAATTACTCCAGTCGGAATGCGGAATGTAGCAGGTGATTTGGGGTCAACAGCAGTACTCCGAGGCCTTGCATTCTGCTCCCTTTTCTCCGATTTCCCCGATTTTCCGATTTTTCCAATGCATAAATGCACTTGTTTACCCATCTTTCTGCCCCTCAGCGTCTGGCTTCTGTTTTCAATTCTCGGAACATCTGCTCATCAGATTACACAGAGTGTGCTTCAATGGGGGTTCAATACACTTAGGGGCTCTGCCTTGGGGGTTACGTCTTTCATTTCCTCGCTGCGCATATCAAACAGCCCGAAAGAAACAGCCCACAAAAATCCTATCGAGGAACTCAAGTGTCTTCCTTGGCGGCTGAGACCAACACCTGTTGCATTCATAAATACTAAGCGAAGATTTGGGCAGAGTCGGCTTAATTAACATAATTTTTGGTAGGATAATAATACCTACTCCACCAACCAAAAAAAAAACCATGTTCAAGAAAAACATTACTAAAATTTTGCTCACGTTTTGACATCGGAGGTTTCCATTTTTTACCTCTTTGAATTGACTTTGCTGGCGACTATTTGAAAGAAGTCGGGGAAAACGAGGAACAGGATTTTGTCAGAAAAAGAATAGAATGGTGGACTAAAAATAAATATTTTACCAAATTTAAATCTTAACTTTAGAAAAAACAGTTTTTGAGAATTGTACAAATGTTGTATTTTTCAAATCAACCTATATGAAAAGTCTTAAAAATCCTCGTTTTACCTCGGTTAATTTCCCTCTTCCCTTTAAGATTTATGTGCCATTAACCTGCCAGAAGCAAATCTTAGTTTGCCTTCTTTGCTTAGCCATTTGCAATAGTATTTCTCGCCGCATTAAATTTTATGATGATTTTTTATTTTATTGCTGTTATTGCTGCCCTTGTCTGGAGTTTCAGTTGCTGCCATTTAAATGGCAGTAAATAAAAAATATATATTTTTATATGTTTACAAGTTTTTGCCAGTCCCCCAATCCGAATCCAAATCCGATTCCTAACTGTTAAGGCTTCCCATAAAGGGAATCCACGGGAGTTGTTTTTGAATGCTAGCGAAAAAAGGAACAATTGGAGATCTGTTGATCGCTTAAAATGCCATAACTCCGTTTATAGCTCTTGGGTGGAGGAATGGGGATCCGTAGCTTATTTAAAATGGACAATGCGTTGATTAAACGTCACGGGCACGTACAAAAACAACAACGACAGCGCCTTGACTTTTATTATTTTATAATCTTCCAATGCATCGTGTTTATACCCGAGGAGAAAAAGAGAGAGAAACCTCAGATCGGAGAGAGAGAGGGAGAGAGAGAGCTAATTGATATTCTTGGCATTCAATAAAATCGGTAGAAGGCCCAAAGCCAAGTCGAAAGCCCCGCTTTTGCCAGTCGAAGTTGAAGGACTGTGCTAACTTGACGCTCCAAGCGTTGCGCATGCGCAGTTGAAAGCCCCAAAATAAAACCCACAAACTGCAGTGAAGAGTTGATATATTATAGCCAAAAACCTTTGATAATGATCTAAATTTTGTGCCGTGTCGTGCTGAGGTTTTGGAATTAATAACAACATGTTGCTGAAAGTGGAAAACATCGAGATGGAGACGTTCTGTTGCGGTGAGTAGCAGTTTATCTCTAAAGAGATAGATCAAAAAAAAAAAACCAAACTCAATTAAGCAACCAAGGCAGGAAAGTGGAAAACTCTTTAGAGCGGCATTTTCAAAGTGGCAGCACTTAAAATTCGGGCAACGTACTTTATAACAAAGAAAAATTTAAAATATGAAAAAAGGGTTCTTAGAGTGAACAAAAAAATTGTGCATGGTAATTGAAGGACCCTTTACCATAAGCAATTTCCTTCTAGTTGTTTTCCAATTTTTTTCGGTAATCCAAACTCAACTGGGGGCACGTGTTGGAAGAAGATGAGGGAACACGGCTTCAAAAATAGAGCACAGATTGAGTTTCCGCTTAAAACCGTCTAGACTTCGGCGTTTTTTTCCCTGCTGCTCCCCTATTTTCTAATTAATATCACAAAAAAAGAGGAAGGAAAATGGAAAGCCAGACATAAAAAGCGGGACATTAAGGGGGAAAAACCAGGGGCAGCTGTGCTACCCCAAAAACGCAGATGTGCTGGGGCATAGCGCGTGCCCTTCGACTAGGCTTCAAAATAATGCTCATATTTCTGGATACCATACAGTTCTTCCTTGGCTCATGCGTGTTTAAAAATAGCAAAAAAGCAAACAGCAATTATAAACTGAATTGAAAGGGCTGTGCGTGATGTTAATGCTGAACAACAATCGCGGATCGGTTGAGGGTGGGGTGGAGGGGCGGTAAAAGGGCAGCAGGTGCCGCTCTGCAGCAACATAAATACAAATACAAGTACAAACACATGCCCTCGCCAGACAATAATAACAATAACAACAGCCCAGAAAGCAGAATATGCAGAAAGTAACGTACAATTTGCAGTTGGCGCAAAAAAAAACAATGCGCAGGCGCAGAAGCAAAGCAAACATACTGAGAAGAACTCTTCATAACGATCCTGAATATTTTTTTACATATCTTGGAACTATAGACTTAAACATTTTTGAAAGAAACAAAAACGTGTGGGATAAAAAATTTAAAATAAATGAAGTATAGTTTATAAAAGGTTTCAATATTTTTATTAGATAAAATCAAAACTTTTTGTTTAACTATAATTT